GATGGGTGTGTCAGAGGCGGTGCGGTTGGCACAGGATAGAGCAGGGTTTAGGGCTGTTGTGCATAGGGTCGCTATGAGTCGGAAACGACTCGACGACACATAACAACAACAACAACATAATAAGAACACATGCTTTAAAATGTTCACCTAAGGCAGGGCTACACAATCTTTGTTAAAGACATTACTGGTGGATCTAACCAACTACCACAGCAGAAAATCTGTTAGCTTAAAGTGGACAAAGAACAAACAAAAGGAAAAAATCCTATCTAGATCTTAAAATTGTACATCCAGAAACAGAGCAGCTCTGAGATCGCAGAACTACTGGAAGGAGCACAAGTTTCAAAGAGTGGGGTCCTGGATTTCTATATCTCAAAAGGCAGGACCACTAAGTTTCAGAAAGTCAGAATTTTATCAGCTTGGTTCTAGAGACTCAAACTGCCATGACTATGTGTCAGAATGATAAAGTTACTGCCCAGAGCTGAGGAGGTGGGGGAAACTACCACGACTAAAGGATGAAAGAATAGAGCCTATGAGGGTTGAGAGGGTAGAGTTATCAGTCAGATGGAATAGGAAAATGGAGCCACTCAAAGCTATGGGAGTAGAGTTGCTGTCCTAGTATACCTACAAGGCAGAGTTGAAGCACAAGGCCTTGAAGACCCCTACTAATAACCGAAAGGGCATAGCTAATACCCAGAATTTATGAAGCACAAGGCCAAGGGGACCTCCACTCAGATCCAAAGTGTCTAGCTAACACCCAGGGTCTAGAGAGCGGGGCTACCACTCAAGATAGTCTCAGAAGAGAAGATTCTTTTTAAGCCTTCAAAACTAATGTAATTTGTTTTTGCTGAGTTTGAAACTCAGATGGTGCCTGTTATCCCTTCTTTCCTTCCAATTTCTCCACATATAACAACATTGTCTACATTGTGCCTGTTCTACTACTGCAATACAGATGTAAACAGTTTATATACTACACTTCATATGAAGAGTAATTTCTTCACAGGATGGAATACAGACATTATTTTGGAAATTTTATAGTATCTATTTCAAACCATCACAGTAAAACAAATATAAAAATCGTTATTCCCAGTGAATATGAAAGCTATGCTTACTCTATACTATTAAGTCTATTAAGTGTGCAATAATATTATGTAAAAGTTTGAAATACTGTGAGACTTATCAGAGTGTGACAAAGAGAAAAATCTGCAGACGACATGATGTTGGTAAAAGGGTCCAGACTTACTCGATATAAGGCTGCCACAATACTCAGTTTGTTAAAAATTCATGATAAAGTAAAGCATAAAAAAGCCAGGTATGTCTGAGTAACTAAGGTCTAATCCATATATAATTTCAATCATTGGAAAGATTTAGTGTGAAATTTAAGGCTTTGGGATGATAAGATAGAGTTCATGTGTTTTTTTGCAAGATGAAAACACATATTTGGGGGGGGAGAAAAGAATGCTAATATGTATTGTAAATCCTAGCCACTATGCTCACAGTTACAAATCCATATGGAAATACATTATTTTGTTGTGTTAATGATACAAAAATAGTGTGGTGTGTATACTGAGTCAACCTCTTTTAATGGATAAGAGAGATTAAACCAAACAAGTTAGAAGCAGAGATAGAGAAGAGAGATGCTAAGCCACATGAAGATCACTCAGGAGCAGTCCCAAACCAGCCAGGACCTTCCTCCACTGCCAACAAAGAACAAAGTCTGCCTTCCAAACAGCACTTTAAATTCAGTGCACCCCTAGCCTTTCAAACTATATGACTACAACTTCATGTGTTAAAGTCCCTCACTCGTGCTACTTCTGCATAGCACCGCTAGGGAACAAGGACCACCAAGACTTCTGGCTCTAACAAGTCAACAAGAGTAATATAAATAACTCTGTTATCTAAATCTGGATACTGTGTATATATATATATATATATATCACATTTTAAGGTGGGGTGTTTTTGGTGGGATTTTTTTTAAAAAGAGTGACCTTCTAAGCAGTCTTCACTCATGGTTTGTTCTATTTGTTTGAAAATGTAACTGCATAAGGTTTTTCAATGATTGTGATCTTTTGGAAGTAAACTATCTTCTGATAATTTCTTTCAAAACTTCCTACTGGAGAATTTTAAATTACCATATTTTCATTATTAATCAAGTGTGTAAAGTTCAAATTAAAGCTGAAGAAAATTAAAACAAGTCCATAAGAACCAAAACAGGACTCTGTGTCTATACCATCTGAATTTAAAAACCACCTCAAGAATAGGTTTTGGGCATTGAACACTAATGAATGAAGACCAGATGAGTTATGCGATGATATGAAGGATACCATCCAGAAAGAAAGGAAGAGGTCCTTATATAGGCAGATCAGAATGAAAAGACCAAAATGGCTGTCAGAAGAGACTATGAACATTTCACTGGAATATCAAGAAGTCAAATAAAGGGAAGAAATGCTAAAGTAAAAGAGCCAAATAAAAGATTTCAAAGGTAGAACACAAAGCAAGGATTATAGCAAAATGTGAAAAGACTAGAAGTAACAAAATTAAAAAAGGGAAGAAAAGCTGAGCCTTTCTCAAGCTAAAAAGAATGGAAAACAAACTTAAGCGTCAAGTTGTAAGATACTATGGGCAAAATCTTGAATGGTCCAGGAATTATCAAAATAAAATGTAGGGCACACACAGAGTCACTGTACCAAATACAATTGGCTCAAAGATTTAGTGGGGAACTGAAGAGTAGGGTTGATAAAATGTATAAATCAATAGTAATTGTATAAAACACAATGTATATAAATTGTATCTAAGATACAATGTATAGGAATGACATACAATATATATGAATGATTGTATAAAACAATGAAACATGAATGAAACACAATGTATGTTAATGAAAATCAGTATGTATGACTGTATTAAAAATGCCATACAGTCATAGTCATAGATGACTCATAGCAACCCTATGAACCAAAGACCTGAACACTTGTGTAACTTTCGTCATTTCTCCAAGTTCATAGGGTTTCGAGGAACAAGCTATTTCAGAAGTGGATGCCACTCCTGCTTCCAAGCCTGTTTTAATCAGGAAGCTCCACCAAACACTGTCCACCATGGGTAACCACTGAAGGTAGTAGCAAAATATATCACCCAGGATTTTATGAAATACAATTTAACATCTTCCAACAAACAGATGAGATATAGCCCTGGACATGCTTCACCAAGCTGTGCCAAGAAATCTAGAAGGCAGTTAACAGCTACCTGGCTACTGATTGGAAGAGATCTGTACTTATTCCCACTTCTAAAACAGGTGATCCAGCAGGATGTGCAGATATCAAACAATATCATTAATATTACACATAAGTAAAATCTTGCTAAAGAGTACTCAAAAAAGGATAGAATAGTAGTACCTTGAGAGAGAAATGCCAATTTAGAACAAACTCAATTTAGAAGCTGTGACACCGGTAACAGTGCGGATATCAGACGGATCTTGACAGAAAGCAGAGAATACAAGAACAACATCCATCTGCATTTTAATGGCTCTGTAAAGGCAAATGACTGTCTGGATCACAACAAATTAGGGCTAACATTGAGAAGAATGAGGAGTTGTACTGTTGGAGAAGAGTACTGGGCTGTCAAATGAACAAACAAGTATGTGCTGGAAAAAGTGCAAACAGAGTGCTCTTTGGAGGCAAGGATGGTGAGGCTTCATCTCAACATACTTTGGGCATGTAGTTATAAGGGACAGTCCTTGGAAAAGGAAATCATTCTTGGAGAGAAGAAGGGTCAGCACAAGAAAGGAAGATGCTCAACAAGATGTAACAAAGATGTTACAGTGACTATAACAGTGAGCTCATCTATCAGAGAAGGTATAGATGGCACAGGTTATGGCAGGGTTCAGATCCATTGTTCAAAGAGTTGCTGTGAGTGATAGTCAACTTGATGGCAAGGAACAAAAAACTGATTTGTCATTTCCTTGCACTGACATAAGAACTTCAGTAATTTTATGAAAATAAAAAGTTTAAATATTCATCATAATTTTGTTGTTGTTAGATGCTGTCGAGTCAAGTATGACTCATAGGAAACCTGATGAACAACAGATCTGAACCCTGTCCTATCCTGTGCAAACATCACAATCTCCAACACACTTGAGCTCACTGCTGCAGTTATTGTGTCAATCCAACTGGCTGAAGGTCTTCCTCTCCTTTCCCACCCTTCCAAGCATGATGTCCTTCTCCAAGGAACAACTTCTCCCAGCAACATGCCCAAAGTATGTGAGACAAAGCTTCATTATCTGCTTTCACCTTCTCCAAGACATATCCATTTGTTCTTTTGGCAGTCCATACGATATTCAGTACTCTCCTTCAACACAGTTCAAAAGCATTCATTTTTCTTCTCTCATCCTTAGTCACATACAGCTCTCATATGCATACCAAGTTACTAAAAAGACCACAGTCTGACAGGTGTACCTTAGTCCTCAAACTAACATCACTGTTCCTCAGTAATTTGGAGCAATTACTCCTAACATCGCGGTTAGGACTCAAAAATTCATACACGTGTAAACGTGTGTGCATGTGAGAGAGAGAAAAAAGATATGTGTGAGTGTGTACAGAGAGGGGATAAGCATATATACATTTAGATACTCACTTGCTCCAATTTAAAGATATGCTGATTAAAGTAGTGTTGTAAACGTTCATTAGCAAAATTAATACAAAATTGTTCAAAGCTGTTATTTTCATAATCTTCGAAACCAAAAATATCAAGAACACCAATGGACAAAGTCTGAAAAACAAGACAAAAATTTTCATTAGAAAAAAAGTTCAAAGTGACATAATAATAGCCATAGCATATGTAACAACACTCAAACACATTCGATAGAAAGATATTAACAGCCAATGCTCAAGCAATATATACTACAAACAAACATACTTAAGTTCTGGTCTCTTTTTATCTCTTTATTCTTACAATATATTAAAAATTTTAACAGAACAAATGTTTAATATATTAATATATTAAAATATAAACATACAGTAATCCATGGATTACTTCAGAGAACTTTACAAAGCTGGCTTACACTCAAAATCTGTTGTTAGGTGGATTCCAACTCCAACTGCCCCTCTATTTATAGTGTCCAGGGCTATAAATCATAATGGGAGCAGACTGCCCAAGGAGTGACTGGTGAACTCAAACAATCAATTTTCGTTAGCAGGCTGACATGTAATCCTCTAAACTACCTTGAAAGCAATGTTAGTTACTTACACCTCAATCTCATAAATCCTTAAGTTCCAACAGACACAAAAATGGAAATAAGAATAGGGTATGGTTTATTAAGAAGGTTATTTAGGTGAAAAATCATTTCATCTTTAGTATTCTTGGCTATGCCTAGATGATGATATAATTATTCCTAGCTTGGATTTCTATATCCTAATAAATCTACTTTAAAAAATAAGCTGACAAGTCTTTTTAACTACTCTCATGAAAGGCAGGCATAAAACTATGTAACAAATGAAATTTTATAAAGTTATTTTTATCTTTATTTATACAAAAAAATTATACCAAAAGTTTGAAAGGTTACATAGTTCCAAAAGGCACAGAACCAAAAATCTAACAATAATCCCTTTCTTGTTCCTAATCCTTGTTCCCTAGAGGTAATCAAACTAGAATCTTTCAGTTGGTTGTTATACTATAGTAAAATAAAACAAAGCACAATAAAACAAAACCATATACATAACACATATATACACACCCCCTCTATTTCTTGATACTTCTAAAACTATTAACTTCTTAACAGACATATCAGGGATTTAATACACAACTCACCCACCACTCTCTGCCCCTCACACAACATACAGACATTCTTCTCATCAACCAAATTAATTCTTACAATATAACTGTATGGAAATTTTAAGTTAAATGAAAACTATTTCCCTTGATTGATGATAACAGATCAACTGGGCAAACTATTACAGTGATGATGAGGGACCTCTGGTGGCTTAGTGGTAAGGAGTTGCATTACCAACCAAAGGTATACAGTTCAAATCCACCAACTGCTCCAAACCAGAAATATGAACAATCAAGTCCTGTGCTATTTACTGACGATGAAAATCTGTTGCAAGGGCACCTATGAGTCAGTTCTGATTCAGTGGTACATAACAACAATATTATACTGATAAATAAAAGTTAAATATGTTAAAGATCATTTTTAAAGTCTCTACTAAAAGATTCTCGTGACTAATTCCAAATCCTTAAAAAAACAAACTGACAAAACAACTATGAGATATAATCTCACCCCAGTAAGAAAGAAAAATTTAACAGAAAAGCAAGCAACAAATGCTGGTGAGGTTGTGGAGAAACTGGAACCCTTATTCACTGCTGGTGGGAGTGTAAAATGGTGCAACCACTATGGAACGCTGTATGGTGTTTCTCAAAAAGTTGCAAATAGAGACACCATTTGACCCAGCAATTCCAATACTGGGAATATACCCCAAAGAGACCACAACTGCCACCCAAGCAGATATAAGCACACCCATGTTTATTGCAGTTTTTTAGCAATAGCAAAGAGCTGGAAACAACCCAAGTGCCCATCAACAAATGAATGGATAGAGAAGCTGTGATATAGTCACACAACAGAATACTATGCAGCACTGAAAAACAAGGAACTCATGAAATATTATTCAAAATGGGTGACCCTGGAGCACATTATGTTGAGTGAAATATCTCAGTCACAAAAGGACAAATACTGCATAGAACCACCTTTGTACAATGGGACTGACATCAGGGTTGAGGGAAGAGTGAAAAGGAGGGGAAGAATAATGTATATTTCATCAAAACAAATGAGGGAGAGAACTGTTTAGAAGGGACATACGAATGGGTATTCTTGTCATTACAGAAATCCACAGTGAAGGCTACATAGTGGAATGGACTTAGTGGGGAGGGACTGTATAACAGTGAAAGAGGGGTTTTTTCTTTTCAAGGAGAAGAATGAATTGGGGGAGGTGTGGGTAGGGGGAAAAGTTCAACAATGAATGACTGGAAACCCTAAGTCTCTGTAAACTTTCATTAAAATTAATTTTACAAAATCAATCAATTAAAAAAAACCAAATTGAAAATACAGCACTTAAAAGATAATGAAAGTTTATAAATAAGATTGCAAAAGAAATTCATTTCCTATCTCCTTGTAAATTACAGGACTGTTCAAAGATTGAAAATTTACTGTAACTTCCAAGAAGATGGCAATGTTGGTAAGTCTAAGAACCTAGTCTAATCACAGAAGCACTAAGAAAAACAATCAGAAATTTCTAATCGCAATTTTACAAAAACACTAAAAAGTTTACAAAGCATTACAATTAAGCATACAATTTGACACATTAACTGTTAAGAAAACAAGTTATCCTACTCTTGTCTCTGTCTCTCCCTCTTCTGACATACTTCTTCTTGTGTACCACAGAGTTGGAGCCAACTGGTGGGTTTTCAGAGGCAGTTAATCCCATAGGGGGAGACTGTCCTTACTTCTCCCATGGAGAAGCTGATGGATTCAAACCATAGTCCTTCAGTATTACAGTGCAGCGTCTTTTCTATTAGGCCACCAGAACTCCCTCTGATGTAGTAATGGATCACAATTCACACTCTCAGAAAGGAAGACTAGTCTCAAATTGTCATTAGTTGTTAGATTTGCTGGCAAAATAGTCAATGTCTTTTCTCTCTGGAAACTCCTTAATGAACTAACGACTTAGAACCAAAAGTAAACACCATGTTTTAAAGTTGTTTCCAACTCATAGCAATGTTACAGGACAAAAGAGAACTCGCCCAAAGGTTCCACAACAGTACATCTTCACAAAAGCAGACTGCCATCTCTTCCTCCACAAAAAGGACTTGTGTGTTCAAATCAAATGCCCTCCAGTTGGCAGATAAGGGCTTTCACCACTCAGACATCAGCGGACAAAGTGATGGAGGTGAATACTGTGACAGCAGTTTCCTGAAAAATCTGGCACCTTCTAAAGCACTATGTAAGGGAGCTCTGGTGGTGCAGTGGTTATGTGCTTAATTGTCAACCGAGTAAAGCATGAGGTCTGAATCCATGAGTATCTCCATGGGATAAAGATGTAGACGTCAGCTTCCATAAATTTATCGCCTTGGCAACCCTAGAAGGCAGTTCTACTCTATCCTGTGGATAACCAGATGTGGGGACTGAATCAATGGCTATGGTTTTAAAGCATTCTGTACACAGAGAAATTAAGAAAGCCACACATGTGCTCACCTATTAGACACTATAATACTCTCATGTCAGTTTCAACAAAATTTTAAGAAACTAGGGGGGAAAAGACAAGATAAAGGGAGAAACTGTGGTCTCAAACTTGAATAACGAGCATGTTTAATTAAACATAGGTCAAAGAACTACAGTAAAACATTAACAAAGTATTTCTTAAAACTAAGGAAATGGCATAGCAGTGTTAGTCGCAGTAGCAAGAAAATGGAAACATCCCAAATGCCCAGCAACAAATGAACATTATTATAAAATTAGAAGGATAACCAGTAACATACAAATAAAGGTCCAAAGGAGGAAGGGGAGAGAAAGAAATCCCTGAGATGTAGTAGAGTTTGATGTGTGGAGGGAGGGGTGAAGGAATCAGAATATGTTCAGTAAGGACCTGAAAAGATGGGGTGTTGGTGGGCATGGATCAATGGTGTTAAACTTCCTAAAACAGTGTATAGGAATGATTGTATGAAACACAAGCAAATAAAGGAATATGTGAAACTTACAGTATACATGAATGAAATACAATGTACATGAATGAAAAAAATGTATACACAATTAGCATGCAAACCAATAAAAAATATTTTGAAACCAGGAAAATTATATAAGAGCAAAATGAGAATCTATAGTGATAAACAAAATAAAAAGGAAAAAAAGTAAATAAAAATGTGCTTTAAGGAACTAAATACAATTATTAAAGCTAAAAATAAAATATTTAATGGAATGGCTTAAAAGGAGATTGGAACTTGCAGAAGAAAAAATCTGCAAACTAGGATAAGACAAAAATGAATTAGTGACGCAGTCTCAATATAAAAAGGTAAACCAGGAGGAAAACTGAAGTGAGCTGCAAACAGAGATTTGTAAACAAATGTTCATAGCAGTACTATTCATAATAGCAAGAATACTGAAACAGCCAAAAGGTCCATCAAAAACCAAATGGGTTAAGAAATTGTGGTACATTCACCCAAGAGAATACCATACAGCACTCAGAAGTAACAATTTTTAAAAAATACTAAATAACATGGGAGAGGGTAATGAACATTGTGCTGAGTGAACTAACTCAGACTCCTAAAGAAAATTATTGCATAAGATCACTATTGTAAAAGCAGACAGATAATTAGTAAGATGTGTATGGATATCCAAAGAAGAAAGGGGAGGGGCAAAAGGGGCTGAGGAGGAAGGGATGCAATTATGGTATCACTGAGTTTGGTGGGTGGAGAGAAGGGATAAAGGAACTGGAAAGATCCAGCGGGGATCTGAAAGAAAAAAAATGGAGTAACACTAAGCATATATCAATGGTGATTAGTTTTATAAGACACAGTGTATGGGAATGATCATTAAGAAACATAACTTGAGTGAAAAAAAAATAACTTTTTTTTAAGAAATAACATTTTTAAAGAAGAGAAAAATTACTTTGATGTTAACTTTGGTATCCTAGAAAAAGAAAAGCAAGTTTGGGTCTACAAAACTGAGAATCAGATCCTGAATGGTTATATTATAAGAAGTTCCTGTATGTACCTTCTTTGGT